GAAACAGACTCTTTCAGACCAACAAAAACTGAAAAAAATATACTGACATAAAATGTTCACCATAGAAGATGGCAAAAGAAATATATGTATATTCAAGCAGAATTAAAATATATCAGAAGGAAAATTGGATCTACACAAAGGAATGCTGAGGGCCGTAAAGGTACATATGTGTAACTGTAAATAATGTTTTTCTCAGTTACAATCTTTTAAAAGGACAACTGGATGCCAAGCGAGAGAAAAATAATATATTTTGCCATTTATAACATATTTACAACTAACATCTAGGACAGCAATACAAAATGAAAGTATACAGAAAACTATTTTTATATTTTGTAAGTAATTGGAGATTAAATAAATCTAGTCCCACTTTCTTCATGATGCCAGAAGTGCAAGTACCCACACTCTTTATTAAAATTAGAAACAATAAACTCTAGACGATTTGTTTACATGTTTAAAGGCTGCTTGTAATCAGAAAATATTTTGAACGGAAATCGTGCTACATATGTGACATTAAGTACTCTATTTTCTCTGATTATTTTTATAAGCACTGAAGTTACTACTGGATAGAGACTTCTGAGAGATGCATTGTCACTAAAAGTCAAGACAAGGCAGAAGATAAATTCAGACTTTATGATTCTGCCTTTTGTCTGTTAAGTTAAAAAAACTCAAAATGTTGCCTTTTTCTCCCCTTTTAGAAGAACTATTTCATCAGGTCACAGGTAAATCTTTAGGTATGATCTTTTTTAACCATACTGATATAAATATTAAACTATTAGATGGATTTCTAGTATTCAAAGCTTCTAACTGATTGAAATCATTTTGTGGTTTTTCTAATTTTTTTTTTTTTTTTTGTATTACATTGGCTATTCAGTACAGTACCTGGGGTCTCCAAATAAATTTGATTCTTAGTAGCTTAGACGCTTTAAATCAGATTTCAAAATTAATCACTTTAAATTTTTAGCCTCTTTGATAACTAACTCTATATGAATGACTACTCTGATCAGTTTGTCACCTTATCATACTTTATTATATTAAGACAGGAGATATTTGTCTAACAATCCCTGCATTTTCTCATGTCCAGATATTAACCTTTCTATAATCTAATTTGGGTAAATGGGTGCATGAGGACCTCAGAACTCTTGAATACTTTTTGACGGTATTTAGATCTCTAAAGAGAATATGAAGATGTTTGTATTAGTTAAGGAGTGTAATAAGCTCCTCCTGGAAGCTGCCCACACATTCATTTGTACCATGTACGAGCCAGCAGGTGGCAAGCTTGAGTTTTTTGTACATAGGCTCTTGTTGAGATTACAGAAATTGAACAATCTATCAATGGATTTCATGAAGAACTCTTTTGGTGTGCCATGGCATTAAAAAAATTTTTAACCTTCAAATTGTGGACCCAGTGGTGTTAGATAGTAATGTGCTTTATGTAATTTTCTCTTAATTTATGGTTGTATTCTGTAATCCTTTCTCTAACAAATAATTTTGGAGGATAATTATAATAGTAACAATCATAAATAATTTTGCAAGTTTGAACCCATTTTTGTTCTTGATTTCTATGACTATGAGGAAATTTTAGATATATTTTCATTTTTCTTAAATTTCAGATTAATGCAAAGGTAATGCAGTTAGGTTACATTGTTTGTGTTTATTAGGAATGTATACTTGCATTTTGTTTGGGAGGATCTTTATAGCACTTAAAAACCCCGCCCCGGCCAAACCGTAACAAAAAAATAGCCGGGCATTGTGGCGGGCATCTGTAGTCCCAGCTACTCACGAGGCTGAGGCAAGAGAATCATCTAAGCCCAAGAGCTGGAGGTTGCTGTGAGCTGTGACGCTGCTACGGCACTCTACAGAGGGCGATAAAGTGAGACTCTGTCTCCAAAAAAAAAAAGTCATGCAAAATATACCTTGTGCCCCAGTAAAAGTAATGTCAAATTCTTTTGAAAATTTTAATATTAATATTTATATTTTAAAACACAAAACAGTAATTTCTTCTGTGTAAAATGATTGTGTTTTATTTCTAAATATATATCTGTTTTGTTATGCATCATTGGTATTTACTTATCAGTGAAGATGTGTTTAAACTCTCGTATGTACAATTTATTTTTTATTTCAAAATATTAGAGAACAGACATATTTTGTTTACATTGTTTTTTTACAGATTAGTCAAAGTTCTAAGTATGTCCTTCACTCAGATAATGCACTGTGCCCAGTAGATGTGAATTTACCCAGCCCCTCCTCCAGCCTCCCCTCAGTTTGATTTACATTGAGACTTACTGCACTTAAGTGTTGATTGTTTAGTTCCAATTTAATACTTAGTACATGTAATTTTTATCCATTCTTGGCATGTTTCACTTAGACAAATGATTTCCAGTTCCATGCAGGTTGTCACCCCATCAAAAAGTGGGCAAATTACATGAATAGAAACTTTTCTGTGTACAATTTTCAAAAGTTCTGGGTTTTGCACCAATAACTTAGAATAAATGAAGATTGGTTATATTCAGTCACATCATTAGGCATTGGGGATATTAAACTCATTCTAGCCATCACATTTAGAGATGAAAATTCAATGATAATACATGATTTGTTTATTTGTTTGACTCTGTGAAATTCCATCCCTATGTTCTCTATAAAAATTAATCTTCCTTCCTTTAAGTTACCCTCTTTCCTACATTTCTGCTCTACACAATTTATTTTAATAGTTACTACAATTTGTTCTTTTTCTGAAAGGGAAGAATAATTTAAAAGGAAAAAAAAATGTAGTGGCTAAAACAACCAAGGTTTAGGCAGTAAAGATGATTCATTATTTCTGAATATAAATTAGATCATTCTCCAATATTTAAATAAAATAAACTATGCCTCATTAAATCTATAAGCCAATTGAAGAAATCTAGTAACTAGGCTATTTGATGGGACAGATTTCCAAGTGAACCCATTAATTATCATTCAGTAGAAATGTTTAAGTCATTTTCCAAATATCACTGTAACAATGATGACTTAGGACCCGTTAAGGCCTAATGAACTGTAACATCTTCCTCTCTTTTTGTTTTGTTTTTAAAGGAAGAGGGCTGAAATTTTAAAAATTGTAGACTATGACTATGTCAAAGGACATAAAGTATAGTGTAGAATTGAATTTAAACTATGAAACAAACCTCCAATCAAATTTAAGAAAACTGAAACTGGAGCTCAAGCTACGGAACTCCTGTGGTAGGGCGCCCAGCTTTCACGTCCTCATCACTGGGGCTTTAAAAAGGAAGCCTGTAATCACAGAGGCCCCTGCACTGCCCTGACTTGCGTGTGTCTGGGTTCAAGGTGCCCCAGGCTGGTGTTAATGTACCCTAATCTCATCTTCCGTTCTTCTATTTTCCTTCAGTCCATTTCCAACTGGAGAACCTGGCTTTTGAGAAAGATGACCCACCCACCTCCAAAGCCTCTCCTCATCCTCTCACTTCTTACGTCTCCTTGGTAGAATACTTTGAGACTTTTCATAAAGAAACATTAGGGAAATAAAAATGGGGTCTAAACACAGCAATCCGCAGAGATCTAGAGTCTCTCATAAATCAAAGAGGACAGCACAGAACTACCCACGCCAGCCTGGCCTGGCAACGGCCTTGGTAATTCTGATGGCAGAAGACTCTGAAAGCAATTACGCACTGAGCCAGACTTTGTTTTTTTAATTTATACTCGATCCCATGGATAAGCATCTCCTGAATTTGCGTGCTGACACACGATTCCAGGTGAGCTGGGATTAAGTATTCATTCCAGAAGGTTTGGTGAAGCTCCCAGGAAAACGAGGGTCTGCAGGCTGGAGAGGAGCGCCTCAACCGCAGAAGTGGGGTCCCAGCAAAACCATCTTCTCCCCCAGGCTCCTGATGAGTAGACTTGGATCCCCGGATTCCAGGCGGAGGAGTCCCTTGGTAGGCGTCCCGGGAGTCCCAGTGAAATTAGCAGTCTGTCTGTTCTCTGAGCTCTGCCTGTCTTTGCTCAGGGCTCCCCCCACCCTGAGGACAGGCGGAACAAAGTTTTATACAGATAAGCCCCGCGTTGACGTAGGCAACGCCTCCCCTCTCGGCTGGACGCGAGCCCAGGAGGCACCTAGTGGGGGAGACGGAGGTGGGGATCGCTGGACGCCGGAGGTTAGGGTCGGTCGGGGGCGGGGCAGATCAAAGGCCAGCTGGGAGAATCGGCCCTGCGACCACACATCCATCAGGCTTCTCCCGCCTCCGTCAACCTGCTAAATCCCTATGAGGTCATAGCAATGAGAGAGAATCAGATCAAGAGAGGGGGGGAGGAGGACGACGACGACGAGGGAGAAGAAACCCAGACGGAAAGAGGCCATCAGACAAGGTCGCCTTTTCTGGCGACACCGCAACTGCGGGGAGCGTGGTGCTGAATATCATCCGCCCGCTCCGCCTGGGAACCGTGAGACCTGCGGGAGCACCTTGCGTTACCACGCAGACAAAGGCGAGGAGGCGACAGGGCGAGGGAGAGCAGCTCGGAGGAGTGTCCCCTCGGATCTCCAGGAAGCAAAGCTCATCTCCTCCGCACGGGAAGAGAGAGGCGCCCGGGGGGTCGGGAAAGCTGAGCAGCGAGCGGCGTTTCCCGGCGGAGACTCGGGACCGGCGGAACTCTGGACAGCGCCTCGCGAGCGGGGCGCGGAGCTCCCGGGCCCCCCAGGTTGCTGGCCCGTCTTTACAGCCTTGCCACTGGTGTGCTCTCTTCCGAACTCTCACCACCAAACCCAAGAAGATCTTTCAACGGTCCGGTCTGAACGTGCCAGGCGCGGGGAGCAACACTTTTGTCCCTGGCTCGGTCAGGGAAGAGGGTCTCCGTATCTGGAAATCCTTTCCTGTGGATAATGCCTTGCTGGTGAAGAAAGAAAAGTTTTGGGATCTGATAGTGGGTGGAAGGGGTAAGAAGGATAGTGGAAGAAAAAAAAAAGGTAGATGGTTGGTTTCCCTCTCTGAGCTGGAAGGAATGATGCCCGAGGAAGGATGTGCACCAGCGGCCAGATTATTGGGAGCCTCTTGGTGCTCTCCGTGCTGGAGATAGGGCTGGGGGTGTCCAGCGTGGCCGTGGGGGCGGTCAGCTTCAGCCTGGCTCTCCGAGAGCACAAGCCGCAGCTTGGAGACTCGTCCCCGGTATGGAGCGGGGTGTGTGTACGTTGAGCCATTTCACTCTCTCTTTACCTCTTTACGGTGGTGGTCAGTGTGCGCGCTTTAGTCACTCTGTCCCCGGGAAACAAACTGTAAACCTCCTCTGCCTTGCGTGTAGGTTCCCGCTGGCAGCCTGTGCTTTTTTTATGTTGTCTTTTTATTTATTAGTGTTTTTGTCTTCTTACCTTGGCGGCTTAAGATCAAATGAAATGGCTTTGTTTAAAGTTGTGGGAGGGGGTGTCGGTTTCCACTGGCTGACTCTGCAAAGGGCCGCTCGGTGGTGCTGCTGGTGGAGGGGGCGCGGGGAGGTCACACCTGTCAAGGGCAGACTCACTTAGTCTTTGTTTCCTTTGGCATGGGAGACCAAAATATGAGAGTAACACCATTTTCCTGTCCCAGGGGACAAAACAGGAGTAGTTATGCGTTTATCTCTGGGCAACAGGGCCCAAGATACACACCAAAGACAACACCAATAGGACAAAAAGAGAAATGTGATGTGAGTGTGAAGCATGTGGGTGCGTCCATCCCAGAAAACATTGTCCTTCATTTTCCCAGGATGGCTATCTGATGCTTCACCTCTGAAAACTCTTTTATGAGTACTAGAAAGTTAGAGACAAACAACAAATGATACGATATATAGCAACCTTCTAATTGAAGAATAATTCAACTCAAAAAGTAACTGCTCAGAGACACTGTCCTAGTTCTCGGTATGTCAGATGGAAGACTCAACAAGCTTCTTGTTGATTTACTTAGGGTGAATTCCTCGGAAAGCCTTAGGGACCCATTCCTTCTACCGAGGAGCCATAAAATAACTCAGAAGGATTGCTAGTGTGGAATTAATTGTGAAAAACAGGTTTTTTCTCTCCTTTAAGTTATATAGCTGCCATGCATTTCTGGGTTTCTGCATGATCCTATTTTTCAAGATAATTTAATATGGAGTTACTTTGCACTGAATTCATAATATTGTTGAAAATTGTAGTTTAATTACTTACTCTTTAGGTCACTAAAGTAAATAATTTAGGAGTTGGACAAAAATCATTCAAAAGTAATTCATTTATGAGAAATGCAATAGCGTTCTTAAAACTGGTAAACTTAGACTTTGGATAATTAGTTTTTATATGTTGGTTTTTTCCAAGTGGGATAAATGTTTTTAAATTGTTGAACTTAAAAGAAAAGAAAAAGGAAAATAGTTTTCAATGTTAACATTGAATACATCCAAGAATCTTTGTTTTGAATTTAGTAAGTCACAGTCAACCTCCAAATAGTTACCTTGTATTTTATTATGTAATTTCCATCAATGTGTACATCATATTTCAATTCAAAAAGGTAAAAGGTACATCTTAATTCTGATAAGTCTTCATCTCATATGCTGCAGTAATTCTTTTGAGAGTTGTAGTTCTTATTCTTCTTGTAATGTAAACATAAATGACTTTAAAACTTCTATTAGATAACTGTCAAAATGAATTACAATATCAATATTTAGATTGAGAGGGAGAAATGGTGATCTTTTGATGGCATAAGGAGAAGACTCAAGTATAGTAAAGTGAGTCTCCCTGAAATTCAGCAAATTAAGTGAATGAACTTCGGTTGTCTCTAATATTAAAACATCCAGTTTGTCTTTAAGAATTAAAAAAAGAGTTACATTAGCTTGGTGCCATGTAATAAAAGTATTTAAATAATTTTTCTATCTCCCCAGACTGTTTAGTATTATCTAGATGGGTTGACATATGTGTATATACACAAAATAAAAATTTGGAATCATCTCAGGAAAAAAAGCAGATAAATCAGTCATTTATATAGCCATTATTATAAAAAATTGTTTCCGTTTTAACTGGTTGTTTAGAGTAAGCAAAATTCTCCTGGGTTCCTGGCACAATAGCTTGAATTTTATTGTCTGATTTGGTAAAATCAAACTATACATCTGACCAAATGAATCGGTTTGGAACTGAACGTACAAACAGTTGCTCGCTTTTATAAACCTAAGTTAAATATCAAATTTGTGAAGAGATTAAATACTCATTTGGGATCATTGTGGCTATTAAACTATAGGCCAGCTAAGTATATTTAAAAATTATTTGGGGGAGTCCTTTGTGGCACAGTGCAAACGTTCTCAATTCTTACAAGGATTAATTTATATAACCAATATTTACAAAGGGCTTAGCATGTAAAAGTAGCATTTTACTACTTTCTACAGAAAATATAGAGATGAATCAGAGCACTTTTCTCAAAAGAGTACTGCCTGGTAGAGGAAACATGATGGGGAGGTACATCACTAACTTTGTCAGTGGTAAGAAGTTAGAGTGTGACTTCACAGAGACACAAGGACAGAAAAGGGTAGAAAGGTTGCGGTGGTCAACGAAATATCCACGAAAGAAGTGTTATGTTACTCTTGATCTTGGAAGTTTATTGGGACTTAGAATTAAGACACTGCAATGTTAGTTAATATAAAGGAATGTAATATCCAAAGTCAGACTCTATGGTTGCAAATCTCAGATCTACTACTTACAAATTTCCTCAAGTATAAAGTAGGCTTGCTACAAGCACAAATTAAATATGGTTGGCTCTCTCTGTCCATGGAGGATTGGTTCCAGGACACTTGCCAAAATCTGCAGATGCTTAAGTCCCTTATATAAAATAGTACAGTATTCACATATAACCTAGGCACATCCTCTTACGTACTTTAAATCATCTCTAGATTACTTATAGTACCTGAGGCAATGTAAATAGCATGTAAATAGTTGTTATACATTTTTTTTTCGTTTTTCTTGATTATTGAATTGGATTTTTTATTTTCATTTTTTTCTAATATTTTCAATCAGAGGCTGGATGAATCCTAGGATGTGGAAGTGAGTGAAACAAAGGGCTGATTGTACTCCCCTCAGCAAAAGGAATGGCATGTATGAAGCAGCTTATACTTGATGCTCACACTGGCAGGAGGGTGTGAAAAAGGAGAGCCTTCTAGGCATTATGGATTAAGGCAAAGAACTTGGTTGGATAGGATGAGTTGATTCCAAGGAAAAGTCTGATCTTCTGTTCTTCTGGTATGTAGATGTGTAAGAGGAAGATAGGGATACAAAGAGTGATTCGGGCCAGAACATAGGGAAGCTGTGTGCCAATCTGACTGAACATTTTTATAATCCCATATTTTTAATAACAATAATAATATTAATCTTACTTCCCAAAGAAACTCCAGGGGGATGTAGAGGAAAACCAGATAAAAAAATATTAATCTGTGTGGTAATTTATGAATTTTAAAAATTGTACTATTTGTGAATACCCAATGAGACTTTAATAGTTAACCTGTCAGGATACACATGGTCCATATAATCGGGTTATGTTTTGATTGGTGCTATAAAGTTTTTTGACATATTAATGTCATTATTATGATTCTGAATTAAATTTGAAATTCAGTGGAAATCAAAACTGCACTATGAATGGGTTACTTTTATGTGAAAAGATCCTGAAATCATATTTTTTTAATCTATGAGAAGTGAACTAAGGATTTAGGCAACTACTGCATTTGATTATTTGTCAACAAATATGTAAATACAAAAGAGTTGCCTCAAAATAAAGATAGGGGCTTCAAATGTATTCAATGGATGCGTACACAGATTATTTCCAGTCACTATTTCATAATGAGACAGGGATGCCTCCTGTGATAAGCCCACAATTGTGAAAAATTAGAAATGAAATAATTATTTAGCTATAAAGAAAGCTATACTGAATTTCATAGCATTTCTGTTTTTTCTTCAATCTTTGTTATGGGTGATATAGACACCGACAGTTAAAGTAACAAATGATAACAATGAATAAACCATTGAGTAAGAAGCTTTGGAAAAGACATAGTCACATGAATTATAATTGGTGCATAGATTTATGAACAGGTATTTAAATAGGAAGGACTGTGTTTTCAAGTGGCTGTGTGAAAGTCCCTTTTCTCAGCCACTAGTATATCATGTGTAATGGGAATGGACCGTGTTTAGTAGTGTGCAGAATCATAAATCCACAAGAAATTTATTTTCTTGCCCTACGTTTGCATCTTAGATTCATATAGTGGCATCCATGACAAAGTCTGATGCTGAGCTATATTTCATACATACTATGCTACATTTCTATGCATCTACATCTGATCACGTTCTGTAAAATTTAATTTATTAAAAGAATTATTTTAAACCTCATTCTCCCACATGTAAACCATAAAGTAGTATTTTTAGATACTTAAAATTTTCCTTATCTAAACCATATAATGTTTGAGCGATTTCATTGCTTACTTTTCTGGACATACTTGGCTGGTTATAACTTTATCTGCTTAATAATTTTTATGTTGTGCTTGAGTGAAATTTATAGGATGATCAATGCACAGACCTTTTCTGTGGACTCCTGATTCACCATGGCAACAACTCAGCCAATTGTAAGATTTTCCTGAAATTCACCTCTATACATTCTGATCCATAGCATAGCAACATAAACAAGGTACTGCATATAAATGATATCTGCTCCAAAATATTATTTTTAATATTTCTATCTTTCAAATATAATTAATTGAAAACAAACAAAACAATAAAGCAGAAGAAACCTTCCAGTTACTTCAAATGTACACAATCTGAAGCTAGCACATCTCTGATCAGATAATGCATCATTTTTCTCCAGAGACAAAATACACACTATCAGAGATTCATATTATTTTCTAGGATATGAAACATGGCCTCTATCCTCAGGGAAAAGTTACAAATACTCATGTATGCCCCCATTTAAAATTAGTTTTAATTATACAAGTAATTCATGAATATATTCTTTTAAATGTTTAAAGAAATTAAACCAACATCCTCTTTCCTTACCTCCCTACCAAAATTAGCACCATTATATTGTTACACTCTCACAGACATTTCTCCATGTAGACATAATAAGATTTTTTTGCATATAACCCAATTTTGATCAAGTTTTTCAATATAATTAAATATTATTTATGCATTCTGTAGAACCCA